CCATACATGTAATGTTTTATCTTCATCATAATATCTCTTTATCTTTTTAAATAATTTAATGTTTATTAACATGAAAAGCTAGTATGTAAAGTGATAGTACGTTTCATCCACACTATTTATCTGAACAAGTTAAAAACTCATCGAATTTTATTGCTTTCAATTCGAGCACTAAGCTCATTAGTTTGAATTCGATTGATAGCTTTTACGAATAACTTGAGCTTTAACCAAACTAATTTGAGTTATACACAAATTAAGTAACTTTCAAACTGTGTGCTACCTAAAAAGTTTAAGGCAATTCTAACTAACCCGACGTATACCAACATGGATTGAACCGTTCCGATCAAACTAGGGAAAATCACATTGAACAAATAATAGTATAGGGGAAAACCGTAATCCTTTTGCCGGTAATGGGCAGCTACAGTTTTATATAGAGTATATATAACCATATTATACTTATGCTATAGGTATGATTCTATTTTTCCTTTTAGACCCAAACCTTTAATACCCATTTCATATACTCCCTCCGTTCTCTAATACTCCCTCCGTCCCATAATTAAGTTCCTACTTAATTAAAGTTCCAAATTTTGATCCTAATTAAAGTTCCTACTTCAAACCTTTCCTTATTTGGCAAATGATTTACACCAAAACAGTGTCAAACAGTGTTCAAACAGTGCACTCCACAGTAAAGTCAAATTTATTTCTTAATATATGTGAAGTCAAACTAGGAACTTAATTAAGAACCGGAGGGAGTACTTGGTCCTCTTTCTATTTCCGGATGTTCTCTATTATTTGTCTCCCTTTCCACTTTTGGTAAGTTTTTTCAATAAATATACCCATTTACCTCCATTCTCTTTCCTACTTTTTCATTTTCTTTCCTACTTTTTCCTTTAAGCACAACCCACTACACCTTTTATCCTACTCCTTTTAATTTCATCTTAGAGAACGGAGGGAGTATCTTTTTGAGACAAATACGCGTTAATACAATATTCATTTAAATCATTTTAGTTTTCTCCGGGATGAGGCACAACCCGAACTGCTCAAAGTATAACTATATGTATTCACCTTTTATTACAATTTTAGGTATTCATTTTTCTTAAGAACTAAAATTTGTTGTGTCATTGTGCGTATGAATCAGTATGATTTATATATTTTCTTAGGTGTGCGGTTTTGTGCATCTTAATTGATTTGGTTGAAAATTTTAACTATGTTGAAGTTGTTTGTAACTATTTATAGATTTATTTTACTTTTATTAGATAATTCTATTACTTTTTGTTTAAATAAACAAGTAATAATCTCAGTAGAAAGTATTCCATAGGACACAGGACCGCACCTGCATCTCGCCTAGCCCATCGTGGGGTTGGAGGCCCAGCCAGATCATAGATGACGCAATCGCTGCGGATCACACGCGTTATGTGCCCGGATGGGCCGGCCCACTACTGAGAGATGAACTCTTTTTCTGACGTCGTGTTTCCTGGAGTCACATGGATTTGGTCTGAGTCGTATCAGGCTGTCTGGCACTTGAGAGAGGACCACTTATTTGTAGGTACTCTACAGCCGTGTGGAGTTGCTGCATTTGCGTACGGTGGCCTGGCCTCTAATTTTGTTAAACGGTTAAAGAAGAATATGGTCATCTTAGATTTGTGACAATCCATTTGGTAGCTTTTTTTTCTTCAAATAAAGCGATTTGATGTACAAAATTGATGAAATTCTACCAGTATAATTGGTTAAATTGAGTGATGAAAAAGTATTTAATTTATGCTGTATTTTATAAACATAGAAATACCATATGAATATAGTTAAAATTGGATCTTTCAATAGTTTCAGTTTATTCACTCGGAGAAGTAAACCAAATCTTACATATTTTGATTATTATATAATTCAACGCACAAAACCAAAAGCTACAATTTGATATAAAAAAATATGTTGGTAAAAGTGATAAACCGAAAATGAGAATTATGAAAATGGTTGTCACTTGTTAATTGTCATTACAAGATGTAAAGAGTGTTGAATTGTTTATATTTAGTATAATCAATATCCAATTTTGGTATACAAAATTCAATAAAAACTCATTGTCCATGTAACATCAGTCTAACATTTTAAAAAAAATGTGCGTTATACGTATAAAATTTTATGCATGCTACTTCTATAAATTTTATTATACAACCCATAACTTTCACTTTGCTAGTGATGTAAGTTTTGAAGTTCGGTACTCTACCGAATCAAGTACGACTATGGCTATGTTTGACACAACGAGCTGAAATTGGAGGCTAATGTCTGAATTAAGGACTATTGTCTGGATCAGAGACTATTGTCTGAAACTTAATTTTGAAGTGCTTGATCTGAATTAATAGTTGAACGAAGTATACCCGTTTGGCAAAAAGGACTGAAAAATACTCGAATAATATGAAATTACAATCAAGGGCATATAAGTTAGGAATAGAATAAACTGTTTAATATAATGATTTTTATGATTCAATAAATATTTAAATTGTAGTACATAAATCTTTATAAGTATGTGTGTGTTGGTATGTATAGGCATGACAATGGGTCGGGGCGGGGCGGGTACTGTAAGACCCAGACCCGCCTCGTGACTTGGCAGGGCTGGTCCGCCCCGCTCAGTGATCTGCACGGGTCCAAACTTGTTGACCCATGCGGGGCGGGTCCGCCCTGCCCCGCTGTAACCTAACTAGCTAGTATGTATTTTTATTTGTGAGAAGTTGTTATCAATTGAATTTACATAAAGTTTATCTCTAAATAATAATTATAAATTAATATATTAAATCAAATTCATGATACCCTCAAATTTTCAAAAATTAAGGAAAAATTACTCAGACTTGAATAGTTAATCTATTTCATTATACTAATAATTGAACATATGTATTAAAATGTTATATATAAAGAAGACATTGATAATCCGTCGTTCATCTCATTCTAATATATGTATTATTATATTATAAGATCAAAGAATTTATGATTTACTGTAGACACACATATGTATGTTGAAGTATATTTGTAATATAATTTATGAAAAAGTATGTATGCTTATGTATTGAGCGAGTCGGGCGGGGCGGGTCCGGGCGGCATGGGTCAATACTAATACCCGGACCCACTATTGTATAGGCGGGGCGGGGCGGACCCGCCCCATTTGGAAGACGGGGCGGGCCGGACCCGCCCCAAATGTCTCGGGCCAGGGTGGGTCATTGCGGGTCGGGTTTTTTTGACATCCCTAGGTATACGGAGTATATTATACGGAGTATATACATATATATTTCTGGTTTTATTCATAATATATACATATAAGGAAAAATTGATAGTAATAATCCCAACTATTGGCGGTCCGCTCATAATAATCCCTACTATTGATTATTACAGAATAATCCCAACTTTAGGGACCTTCCGCCAATAATGGTCCCTATGAATAAATTCTTGTATTTTCTAAAGTGGATGAGATGAGATATAACAAGTAATACCTATAAATAATCTCATCTTTTAATTTTTACGCTTAATTTCTATTTAAAATTCACTTTTTATAGAGGTAATATATGGCTATGGACCATTATTGGCAGATAGTCTATATAGTTGGGATTATACAAAAATAATCAATAGTTGGGATTATTTTCAGCGGACCAGCAATAGTTGGGATTATTATTTTCAATTTTTCCTACATATAAATATATGTATAAATATATGTTCTCAAATCACCTCTCTTCCAAGCTAACTCAAAAGTATGCGGCGTTGTAATGCTAACTACTGGAATAGTCGAATAGAGGATTGAAATTAGAAAGTCGATTTTCACCAAATAAGTAAATTCGTGAAACTCAAATCAATTTTCACCAAATATGAAGAAGAGCTTCACATGGAAAAGGTTATAGTAAAAAAAGTGGAATTTAAATAAACAAGAAGACAAATTTCTGAGGAATCGCATTTTAAACAAATAATAAGGAGAACGCTAATAAGTTTTTTTTAAAGGAATGCTAATAAGTTATTAATCTGAAAGCGTTATTGGTCAAAGAGAACCAGGAAGAAGAAATCCGAATGAGAAGAGCCAAAGAAGAAGGTGATATCTGCGCAGGGTCAAAATTGGTATGGAAAGAAGGGCTGGATCGAAACGTTACGCCTAGAAACGTTTTCATTCAGATCAATATTTTCAGCTTAAGCTCAGTTTAGGCATCTATCCAAACAAGACTACTTTTAGGACAATTAACAAGATTTAAAGAATTTCAGCTCATTTTGAGCTGAAATGGCTTGCCAAACATAGCCTATATAATACTCTCTTGGTTTCTTAAAGACAAGTTTGAACGGCATGAAAATTATTAAAGTAAAAACTGTGTGGTTGAAGTTTGTGTAGAAAAGAGAGAATTAACCGGAACCACAAATTCTTTACTGAAAACAGAAAATGTCAATGTTAGTGGAACATCCAAAAAAAGAAAAGTTGACAAGTTTTAAGGGATGAAGGGAGTAGTAATAGGATTCTAACATCTTATTAATGTCTCGTAATGTCAATTTATGGCATATGATTTCAGAATGACAATGATCTACTAGAATGACAATGATCTGCTCTTATTTCGGGAGGGGGAGGGGGGATTGTTATTACAAGGTCAAACGGTATATTTAGGTTCTTCTAAATCACACCCCATTCGTTCTACCGGCAAGAATTCAATAAATTCTCCAAGCGAAAATACATTAGACATTCCATTTTCTGAAACTAATTATTTGATGTTAATTGACGTTCAACAATTTTAATTTGTCAATCTGGACCACTTGGAGTCGATAATAACCAATATCTAATTTTGTTACCTAAAATTTCATCAACTGTGCTACTTGTATCTACCTCTTATACTCACCCCAGTGAGAGACTATTTTTTTGTATGTGAATCCTGTTCGCACATATACCTAAATCTATGGATCAATTCTATCGCTACTTCCATGGCAAGGGACAAATGTTGAGTAGACCTCATCATATTTATACACAAAAGGTTAATGCAGAATACTATGTAGTACTTTTTTGCCATTCTGTAGCTTATTGAATCATACTTGTCCACAATTTTTTTAGAAAGAGAGTAACTTATTGAGTCATATTTATACACAATTTTTTTTAAAAAGAGAGTAACTTATAAAGTATAATCGATTAGGGGTGGATCTAGTTTTGTCGAGACTGGACCAAAACCAGGTGGTTCAACACCCAACCGGAATTTGGACTGTACTAGAGCCAGCTGAACCCTAGTACAGATTTAATTGTTACAATGGGAACAGATCAGACTGACTCAGTCTCCATTACTTGATTTTGTGAACATGGTACAAAACTGGGTTGAATCAGTTTTAAGAACTGGACAAGACCCAGTATTGAACCAGATCCAAACACACATGTTCTAATCTCAATATTGGGTGATCTCATTTAGAGAATGAGAAGCATTCGGTTCAAAACCAGAATGGGGCCACACATACCATTGGAGTTCTATTGTTCATTTTCAAATGAAGCACTCTCAAAGTTTATTCAAACACAACCAAAGTTCAAGTACATGATCAACCTGCACCTGCAGCGTTACATGCGATATTTTCGCTTGGATACAAACTGATTAAAGCTTATTCTTGTACCAGAAAACTCCCTTCTTCTTGTCACCTTCATCGTCTGGCTCAACATAAACACACTCCTTCACTTCTCTGAACATTGCCTTGAAGACTGGTGTGCTGTCAAACTGGTAGTACTCACCCAATATCGGTTTGATAGCTTTTGTGGCCTCCATGGCATGGTAGTGCGGCATGGTGGAAAATAGATGGTGTGCCACATGAGTATCTGTGATGTTATGAAACACCTTGTTGAGAATGCCGTAATCCCTGTCAACAGTGGAGAGGGCACCCCGCAACCAATCCCACTCGGATGAATCATAATGGGGCAATGAAGGGTGAGTATGCTGCAAGAAAGTGATCAAAACAAGGAACCCGTTCACAATCATGAGCGGGCACCCATACACACAGAGAACCCAAGACAGCCCTTTAGCTGCCACAAGACGGTACAGTCCGAAGGTAACAGCAAAGACACCAAGATCCGAAAGGAAAATCTGGGCCCGCTCCCGGGGTGAATATATAGGGCTGTAAGGGTCATAGTGGCACGCAAAACGTGGATAGGGTCTACCCGACACATTGAACATGAGGTATAGGGGCCAACCAAGGGTGAGCTGAGCAATAAGCGTGAAAGCTCTGCCCAGAGGGTTGTTAAGATATTTGGCGTACCATTTTATTTCAGATTTCTGTTTGGGCACAAAAACTTCATCCCGTTCAAGGGATCCGGTGTTGGAATGGTGACGCCTGTGACTGTACTTCCAAGAGAAGTAAGGAACGAGAAGAGTGGAATGTAGGGTAAGGCCAACGGTGTCGTCCAGCCATTGGTAGTCACTAAACGCATGGTGGCCGCATTCGTGAGCGATGACCCAGACTCCGGTCAGTACACAGCCTTGGCAGATCCAATAGAGCGGCCAGGCCAGGTTTGAGAGAGGCTGTGGGAGAAGATGGAAATAGTGTGTTGCGACATAGTAGAGGAGAAAGGCAACCGTGAGGTCGTAGACAACATAGGAGAACGAGCGGAGAACAGAGCGTTTGAAACAATGGGGTGGGATGGCTTTCTTGATCTCACCGACCGTGAAAGGTGGTTTGGCATACGGAACACGCTTAACGGAATCATCAGATTTGATATTCTTACCCTCCTGGGACACTGCCATCCTGCCTCCGGCACCCATTGCTTACTACTGAGCTACAAAAATGGAAACACTTATCATCATATTTATATAGATATATTCATAAAATACAAAACAAGATGTGTGAGTGTGTGTGTGCATAACAAGATATGTGGGTGTGTTTGTGTGACCAGATATATGCACACATAAAACTAGATACATATTCACAAAATACTCTATGTCTCATTTTGTTTGATACCCAACTTATAAACACTATTATTGTTCTACATAGATAATCGCAGATGTGCATCATCCCATTCATCCATGCATTCTCCATCTATGTATCAGGTTCATTAAAACTAGACACAATGGTATTTTGTTTTTTGTAATTAGAAATTATCATCCATAAAAAAGATAATTAACATTATATTGTATGAGCAAAAATAGTAGGCAAGAAATTGTATTAGGAAAATAGTTTTTCCTAATTCTCACAACTTTAAGGTGGAATTGGGGACGACACAAATTATCTTTCTAGATTTTTTACAAATTTCCAAACTGTAATTTTGCAACCTCTATACAAAAAGGAGTGTTACCTACTACCTACCTTCAGAAAAGTTGAACTTTTGTTGAACACATGAAAACATTTAGTAGCAGATCGATACATATTAAATTACTTACTAACTTAGTAGGCCATAGCAGAATTTATTGCATGTTTGCATTGACAAAACAGAAAAATGATACTAGTATTTCTTGAAGGGAGAGAAAAATAAAAAAGGATACTAATTTGTATTCATATTAATAATGTGAGACAGCATTTATTGACTTGCAGGGAGCTTTGTATCTCGTATGCCATTTGTCAAAAAGTTTCTTGGACCAAAATGAAGAGGGCTGAACAGCATAAATTAAGGTGAAGACATCAATTATTATGATGAAAGACCAAACGCATCCGGCCTAAAATAATACAGTATGCAGTAATATGGATGAACTGGGCTAACCAGAAATATCAGTAGTTCAGTACCATGTGACAAAATTTTGGCTGATCCGTCCCAAAAGGTTCCCATTCTTGATTCCTTTTTAAGAAAATGATGGTGGAGTTGATATTATTCTTTCCTTTAAATATAAATTTCAACAATGCAGTGCCAAAAGAAGAAAGGTGGCTAATCTTGGAAGGGGGGAGTAGTTAGTAATATAATTACAAGCCTATGAAATACTACCCCTCTGTATCTGAATGTTTGAAACATTTTCCTTCATGGTCAGTATTTAAATACTCCCTCCGTCCCGCTAACATTGTCCCAAACACTAAACACTATTCACTTGGTCAACACAAATAACATTCTGTCTTGTAGTACTTTTTTATTACATTTTACACATTCCATTTTTAGTATTAAACTTGGTCAAAACTCAAAAAGTCTAATGTTCCAAACAAACAAATAGAGAGGGAGCATCTAAAGCAAAAACATGCATACCCACAATGAGGTAAGGCTTACCAAACTCCGTGCCTTTGGTGACCCAGTTTTGTATTAAACACAATTTTTTTAATTGAATGCCAATTTTTTCATTTCGTTAGTGAATCTTGTAATAGTCAAAATAAGTAAAATTAATGAGCATTGCTAGCTAAGTTTGTGGAAGAGATAAAAATTCACAATTTTTAAAAAGAATTTTTTACTTAGTTCAATAGAAAAATACTCCTGCCATTGAAAACATACTGAAAAGATAATACAAAGAGTTTTACTTGGGAGGTTTTAATTTCACATTACAAAACGAAACCAATTGAAAAAAGAAAACAAAATATCATACCTCATAATCCCCACAAAACGTATACGCTTCTTTTTTTAAGAAATATCAAACTAAGAAGTATTATTATCCAACAGAAAACAAATGATGCAATACCACTAGCATTACCGTATTTTTTATCTGCTACTCGCAATATAATTGAAAAAGAAGAACTTAGAAAAAGTTATACTACTAGCCATACATTTTTCTAAAAATAGACAATTTTGTTAGGCCCAGCAATTCTTTTAATGTATAATTTCAATTGCTTTGTAAAGGAGTATGCGTACAATGGGAAATTTGACGTGCCGTAACAGATAAAGGAGACATGATTATTCATTTTCATTTACCCCAGTGCCGCAAACACTCCCACCAATGGTGGGGTAAGGGGGTCGGATGTACGCAGTTTTATCCTTGTACTAAAGGAGGGAGAGACTGTTTCCGGATGACCCATAGTGAAGATCGCGTCCAAAGTTACATGGACTGACTGCTGCTTCATAACAAAGAAGCACAGACAGTTTAGTCAGCCATTTTGCTTTATTCCATCATATTCTCAAGCTAAAAAATAATGAATTTTTGACTCCATTGCAAATGATGGAAAAAAAGGAGACATGATTATGTGTAGACTAAAAAATAGGCTGCATTAAGTTAGTAACCTCTATCATTTTAAGTTTTTTTTTGAAAGGTTTTAAGTTAAATCAATGACAATTAATTATTTGCTGTTTTTAGTCATTTAGGCTCCATATGAAAAGACAATAGTATGTGGCCTTTAAAAGTCCAAATGAAATCTCCTAAATTATACTCCGTAGAAAATGGCTTCTAATCTTTCATTTGGGCTTTAGAGTTATGTCAAATCCATCGTTATCAATGGTCATCATCTTTTAGAAACATCTCACCTCTACCACCAAAGTCACCACTGCCACCTTCACCATTATTGACACTTTCACCGCTCCACATGTTTGACAAAAACTACAAAGCAATTTTCATTGTATCCATTTATGATTTATGGAGCATTTTACAATTGATTTGTAATATTGCTATTATTATTACTCTATCAATTAACTAGTGGTATTATTATTTGATCGTTTTTATTACATTTCAACATGTTTTCTTTATTTTCCAACAATGACAAAAAAAAATTTTTAATTCAGGCGAGAACACCAAAGGATGCAAACCTATTTAGAAAATTTAGGTTGAAACAAGTCTAACAACGTCAAAAAAGTTTTGATTTTATATGCTCATAAAAAATAGGGATAATTACTTTAAATAATACTACTTATCAACTATTTATAAGTACTTTAGAAATAACTTTTAATAATACCAACTATTTGGATATATATCAAAAGTGATATAAAACATATTTTCACTAAAAATTCAGCCATTTTACTCGTCAAAAACTAATATCAAAATATCAAATAAGTGACCATATTTGCAAATATCATTTATTTGATGGTTTAATAATAGTTTTTGATGTCTTAAGGACCGAATTTCTTATAGAAAAGTCACTCTGTATTATTTGGTATTATTAAAAATTATTTTTAAAGTACTATTATCCTTGGTTTCCGAAAGATAGTTGGTACTCCTTAGTTGGTACTCCGTATTATTTAAGTTATTTTGGCTACAATTTCTGAAGTGTAAAAAGTAAAACCCAAACATTAGCAATTACTAAAGAATGAAGGAAGTAATACAATACCTAATACTATGTCCATGTACTTCAAATACAACTTTATTCAGAGCATTATTTGGTTTTGATAGAACAGCTCTTGAAGGTTTGATATATAGAATATGATTACTTTTAAATTTACAATTTTCAATAAAAGTAGATTACTTTCAGTTCATTTATTTTCACTATACAAAACGCATTTTAAGTTTGGGTCTCTACTCCAATTCCTTGGAATGAAAATTGCAATGAAAATGTTGGAAATCTGCATTTCAATGGATATTAAATTGAATTCCCACTCACCCATTAATGCTACATCAAAAATGAATCTTTAGATTAGAGTTGTTGAATTTCTACAATCAAAAGTAATTTAGAATGAAAAAAACCCACCAATTGTAGTATTTACTGGATAACATCTAAAGTTCAGTTTCCTAATTAAGCAGAAAAATCAATCAGTGACATAGACGTGAGAAGGGAACAAATACAGAAATTAGATATTCTTATGAAACCTTCTCCCTTTTATATTTGAATGGAGCTTCAGATTGAAGAGAAAACATTGCCGAGGACAATGCAATCACGAACGCCAATAAAAGTAATAACTTTTATGAATTTCAAAGCAAAGAAAAAGACATAAGCATATAAATCTAGCAGAATGAATGGAGAAAATTACCAGAACAGCCTGGTCCTCCTCTTTCTCTACCTGCCAGAGCTTCTTCTCCCTGCGTCGGTCGTGGTATCAATAGCGGCGTTTTGATGGCGTATGAGACTATGACGAAAGAGGGACGAAAAGAGAGGCGATGAGGTATTTATTGGGCTTCTCTCCTGGATCCGGAATCAGGGCAGGCTCGGCTTTAAGTAGAGATAGACCGCCATCGTAAATTCCGAAAGCTTAAATTATGTGGTCGGGTAAGGGGTTGCATCCTTTTGTAGAGATATATAACTGTTGTGTCAAAATTCAAACCATGGAAAATGTGAGCCTCATCGGTAACACACGGAATTCTATCAAAATTGGTGAAGATTACATAAATGCTAAACAGAAATTGATAAAGATTGACCGTTACCTATGCTATTAAAATTTAAAACCACGCCGAGTAATCGGGCAGATCAACCCGGCCAACGCTGAAAAAACCAGAGCGATCAAAATTTTAAAGCATTAATTAATACTCCATAGTAGGGGTGGGCGAGGTTCGGAACGGTTCGGTAAGTTAGTAAAACCCGTAATGAATCCGTGAGGTTTTTAACGGTCCGGTACGACCCGGTTTCAAGGATGGAACCGTTCGGTACCATGTTGTTTCGGAACGGTACAAAACGGTACGGTACAATGCCAAACAGATGCTAAAAAAACGAACAAATCTTGCAATTAGTATATATTATCACATCAATCAACTCACATGAAATGTTGATATAAATACAAGAAATTGCATATATAGGTCTAAAATTCACAAATAAACAAATAGTGCAACATAACTAAGAAAGAGTATAGCAAAATGATGACGCACAAGATAAATATCATCCTTAATTTACTTAGTTCATGTGAAAATATAAAAAAGAATATCATCAAATTATTGAATATAATAAAAGTCCTCAACCTTCTTCTTCTTCATTCTAGGTTAAAAATTACTTCGTAGTTCTAATTTAATTTATAGTTGAATCTTGAGGACTAAGATTTAAACCATATTAATGAAGTTGTAAAACTGCACAAAACATGATACAACAAAAAGTCGTGTACGCTAACTTACTAGAAATGAAGTCGTTAATGATTTTTCTAAAATTTCACTCCCTCTGTCCCACTAAAAATGGGACAAGATGGAGTGTCACGCAAACTAATAAAAATTGAGTTATGTGGTTGATATTGAATTGATAAAGTAAGGATACAGTAAGAATGATTTGGAGTCACACAAATTTTGCCAAACTTGATATGTGAAAATCTTAGTGTGACGGACCGAAAAGGTAAAACGGGACAATCATAGCGGGACGGAGGTAGTAATATTCTTTCAATACATACCAAAATATAACATAAATTACCTAAAAAGAAAAAATAACAATATATATATTATACATATAAACACACACATTTAGCTATTTTAAGGACGCATAAATATATACGGAGTACTTGGGGCTATAAAATTATTGGTCTACAAAAGAGATCTATTGAATTGGTATAGAAAAAATATAAAAATTCAAGTGTATTATTTTGAAACGGTTCGGTCCGGTATTTTTCGGTTCTCAAAATCTAGGACCGGTCCCGCACCCGTCTCAAACGGTACGGTTTCGGTACGGGACAAAAATATATAGAACCGTTTAAATACCCAGTATTCGGTTCGGTACCATTACGGGATGGTTTGGTACCGGTTCGGTTAGGGTTTTATGCCCACCCCTACTCCATAGCACTTAATATCCACGAGTGTGTTCACAAAATCGAACCGGACCTGCCGAATTGATCCAAAATATCAAAACTCATTAGAAACCGGTCAAAATCGCATAAAACCAGTTATGTCTGGATTAATTTGGACCCGGTTAGGTTGGTTTTCCTAATGTAAAACTAAGATCCAAACCCTTCAGGCAATCAGCTTACATTGCAAATGATGATAGAAAAAGGATGGAGAAGTCGGATATCAATTACCAAAGGTTTTTTATTGATACTTTTTTTAATTTGATTCTATTCAAGTTTGTGTAAGACTACTCCATTTATAAAAGAAAGAATGACACAAATATTATTTATAAGGTTTTAATGGACAAAAATATGATCACTTTGAAACTGTACAAAATAGTGACAGATTCGCAGCCTCGCAGATCCACTACATCGCTCCTCCATCATCGACCTCACAGCTGCCAACTGACGCCTCTGACGGCCGCCCTCCGCCTCTGCTTCAATTCTCTGCTCCGCGCCGGTCATTGTCACCCTCCACCTCCCTTGCGCCGATTTATGTTCCTTCTCTTTCTGTGCGTTAATGGGGAGGTGGACGCCACTATCTTCACCCATGGAGGTTGGGTCATCGCTGGTACTCAAAAAAATACAAATTATAAATAATAAGAAAACAATTAGTCTCCAAAATCACCAACTAAAATTCAAACAAAACAATTTAACTTAGTTATGCATTTAATATACATAAAAATGTAAGTAAAGTTATGCGTGAATCTCATGTTACAATGTGACGGTTTCTAGTTTGGTTATTCAAGTCAATTGGGGAGGGCTTCCGTTGCCAAGGACAGATCCCGCCACCAACGGTTTAATTTGGTTATTCAAGTCAATTGGGGAGGGCAATTAATTATGTATAAGCGGAATGATTAATCCTATTTAGGGAAGATCATTTTTTTTATTTTCAATAACACTTTGAATTGCTAAATATATTCAAGAAATATATAAACAAACTGCATAATTAAGTTATTGGAGCATTTGACTCGATTCAATTCTAAATACTTGTTGGTGTCCAAAAATAAACTATATACTTGTAGAGGCCATTTGACAACACTATTTTTTGATTTATCAGACATATCAGCCAACTTTTTCACCAAACACAAAATTTTTGCTTTCGCGCGCTGAATTGTGTAAAAAGTAAGGTTAGAGTTACTTTTCTGGCTGTATTGGCTAAAGTTACTGTAGATGTTCATTTTAGTTATTTTTACATATAATTTTTTTTATTTTATTAATAAAATATATTTTAAAAATAATTTTTTCTTTAATCAGCAGAATCAGCCAATACAGCCACATCAGCCAGAACTTCATAAATTTCAGCAGAATTAGCGAAGTAAGCCGATTTTTGTGCTACCAAACGAGCTCGTAGACTGGGATGCATTCCGTTGTGGATTGTGGTAGGCCAAGGTTCGATTCCTAGTTGCCCTATTATTATTTCCGAGTCTCATTTATCCGGGTTTAATAGGTTTAGACCACCCCGAGTCCTGTCTGGTTCAGAACGGGATTTCTTATTTTTGGGTTTTTGCAAGTTTAACTTGATTAACAGGTTGATTGGCAGCCGGGTCCCATAGACGACGGACGGGCCTCCGACCCGTCCGATTAGTCGAGCGAATATGTTGTATTAAGGAGAAATAATACTACTCGATTTTATTAATAAATTATTAAATAACATAAAAGAAGTTTAAAGTTAAAATAGACATCATCATGAAACTTAGAAAATTGATTGGAGTTTTACATGCTTTGATTACTACACATAATTCAGGCATTCAGCGTACTTATGAATAAAATTTAAAGATTCCTCATATTCACAATTTTACCACTGCATTTTTTACAACAACAACACAATTACGCAGTCTTATCCATAGTTATCAAACATCACGGCATCTGTTGATTAAAAAACATTATCATTTCAGCATAAAGTAGTACTAAAGTAAAGTTTTATTATGATCACTAATAACCTAAACATAGTCACATTCGTCATTCACTGCGTGTGCCAGTGGCGTTAAAGCATCGGTTGCATGATGCATAGGTGGAAGCGTAAAAGACACCACAACGAAGTTACACATTAGACATTTGTCTAATTTTGCAACCTGACGCTCATTGTAACTTGTAACCTCACATAATATAAAGTGGTTTAACGTTTACCACACAAAATTTCAATCCAAATAAAAACATTGGTGGGTTCATATTTGGTCTCCATATTTGTAGTTAGCTTCATTTTGGGAGAAAACTTTGTTAAGTTGTCAGCATTTCTCTAGCTGCACTGAATTTTTGTAATTGAACAGCTTGGTTGATTAGTTGTTCTTAATGCTTAAAAATCATCCTTAATAACTAATAAAGTGATAAGAAATTCATTTAGTCACTTACCCGTTGATGGAGTATATGGCCCGGGAACCCCCGGCCCACAGACTCCTGCTACTCCAACACAGGCCCAACGGGCCCAAGAAGCGCATGAGGCCCAACGCACGGCGGCCCAAGCTCAAAGGAGCCCACGGTGCACCTAGGGTAGCCTTCAGCAATATGGCCGAAGGCTCCAAAACTCACAGAGCAGCCAGATTTGAGCATACGAAGCTACTGAGAGAAAATGGCAGAAATCAAGAGCCTTCGGCATTTCCATGCCCTCGGTATATGGGAGCCTTCGGCCATACCAAGCCTTCGGCTACCCAGAGCCCTCGGCTGCAGCGAGAGCCTTCGGCTAACAACTCAAATCATCGAAGATTCCCTTTGGAGACAAGCAACCACCGCATTCAATGCGGCGTCACGTCCAACCACCGCATTTAATACGGCGCACATGCGAGTGCTGGTGCCACCCCGATTGAGGTGACCCCTCGGCCGTTAGATTACAGACATGTGTACTCTCATCGCATTTAGTGCTGCTATAAATAGTAGCCTCCTATTCCTCGTGTAAAGGACCAGAACATCTCGAGTTCATTAATATAATCGACTCTCTCTCTCTCTTACTTGTTTGCTCTGACTTCTCTCTAGGTTATTCATATAATAACCCCTCGGATAAGCTACCCCCGGGTACACTATCCATCACCCGTCATACTAGGCATGGCCCGGTTCCGATCTGACCTGCCCGGTGAACCAGGACCAGTTCCGGGCCTAGGGCTGGCCCGGGGTGTTTGGGCGGGGCGGTTCCAGTCTGACCTTCCTTTGGAAGCGGCCCGGGCGGGCCGGTTCGGGCCTTTTTTGTTTTCATTTTTTTTGTGGTAGAAGGTTGGGCTGGGTGTTTTGGGGGTGGGGGTGGAGGGGTCAATTAGAAAAGCAATATATATATATATGGGGGATCGTTCAAATAAAAAGTGGTCTTCCCGTGCAAAGTGCAAGATTTCACTTTTTCATGTTTCGCTTGCACGTTTTCTTGTTTACGTTGCACTTTTTCGCAGTAGCGAAAAAAATTGGATTATTTACAAAACTGCCACCGTCATTTTGGCTAAATTTGGCCAAAATCGCAACGGTGAAAAAGTGCAATGGAAACAAGCAAAAGTGCAAGCGAAACACGCAAGAGTGGAAATTTCGCACTTTGCACATGAAGACCACTTTTTATTTGAGCTCTTCCATATATATATAGGGAGTGATTCAATGGGAACACTCCTTATTATGAGAAATAAGAACAAATCTTAATCATACATCTTAGTAAATCAAAGGCCTAAAAAGGAAGAGATGCATGAATGTATGGTGGGGGTGCAAACATTTAAAAGATAACCTCCACTCCCTATTTAAACCGTAAGCTAAAAGAAGGGCACAACAGTAATTTTAAAAAAGTCATTTAATGTCTATCCGTTGGAGGGTGCTAATTCCCTAAAAAGTAGGTAAAAAAATACTAAAATCATACTCGGTATAAAATGTTTTAGTTTAAAAATTGATTTAACTTTTTGAATTATAATCCAATTGTAACAAAAATTTATATCAAATTAAATAAAAAAAATTCTCTTTCATATGACACCAATATGACATATATAATTTTGTTTTAAAAATACAAGTATAATATGCATACAATAAACCGCAAAAACATCTTCAGCTACCGCATGCACAAGAATATGTATGTGACACACAACCACTACTATCTAACGCATAAGAACCAAAACCTAACACACAATACGTATAAAAAAAACTAAAACCATTATCTTAAGCACAAAATTCATTATCTAATGCACAAAGAATAATATCTGACACACAAAATTAAAAACTAATTAATATCTAATGTATAAGAATTTCACACAACTTAAACTAATATATAACACACAAGAAACAATATCTAATGCACAATATGAATATTCGCCCAAAAACCGGTCCTATAAATATATATAGAATCACAATAAGTATTTACCGCACAAGAATCAGTATCTCAGAAACAACAACCAATATCTAGAGGCCGTTTGGCAGCACTGTTTTCGGCTTATCAACCAACTTTTTTCACCAAACACGTAACTTTTGCATTCGCGAATTGTGTAATAAGCAGAAAAAGTAAGGTTGAAATTACTTTTCTGACTGTATTGGCTGATGATGGATCATGTACCCGGGAGATAGTTTATCTGAGGGGTTATTTGAGGAATAATCTAGAGAAAAGTCAGAGCAAACAAGTAAGAGAGAGTGTGTATTAAATGAACTCAGCGTGATTTATAAATGCGATGAGAGTACACGTGTCAATAATCTAACGGCCGATGGGTCACCTCAATTGGGGGTGGCATCGGCATTCGCATGTGCACCGCATTAAATGCGGTGGGTGGATGTGACGACGCATTAAATGCGGTGGTTGTCTGTCTCCAAAGGGAATCTTTGATGGTTTCGCTGTAGCCGAAGGCTCCCCTGTGGCCGAAGGCTACCCTTACGCCGAGGGCGCCTAGGAGCCGAAGGCTCCTGATTTCTGGCATTTTCCCAGTAGCTTTGTATCCTGAAATATAGCTGTTCTGTGAGTTTTGGAGCCCTCAGCCATAGGGCCGAAGGCATCTCCAAGCGCATTATGGGTTCCATTGAGTTTGGGCCGCGGTGCTTTGGGCCTCTTGTGCTTCTTGGGCCCGTTGGGCCTGTGTTAGAGTAGTAGGAGTCTATGGGCCGAGGGTCCTTGGGCCATATACTCCATCAGGTGAAGTTACTGTAGATGACCATTTTAGCTATTTTTACATATAATTTTTTCTGTATTTTATTAATAAAATATATTTTAAAAATAATTTTTTCTTAAATCAGCAGAATCAGCCAATGCAGCCACTGTAGCCAGAACTTCATAAATTTCAGCAGAATCAGTCAAAACAGCTGATGTTCATGCTACCAAACGGGCTCCTAATGCATATGAACAGATCTCGTACTCAATATCTTAACATGTAAGGGCTATAGAACTTATAAAATACTGTATAGCACACAATAATAAGTATCTAACACACAATAGTAATCAATTGTTAGAACATTTCACTTATTTATTAGGGACTATAATGCAAATATTAGACCTTTTTTTATCATCAAACGGGCCACTATTCATATCAAAAGATTCAGGATCATTACATCAAGCAAAAGGAAAATAAAACTGACACCAACTGATACTTCAACAACTACGACAATAACCCTATGGTGAGACTTTGAGACGGTCACCCCTGAGAGAGCAACACGAATCGCTAATCATGTAGTGGGTTTGACACAGCCAAACCTATTCTCATAGATCCAACTTGTAATACCCGAGATTAATTTAAGAGGATTAATAGTACTACTCATACCAACAGAGGTGCATCTCCTTTTAAGGGAGCTCATTACCTAAGAACTCCAAAGTTAAGCGTGCTTGCTCGGGAGTAGTCTTGGGATGGGTGACCCCTTGGGAAGTTTCTCAGGGCGTGCATGAGTGAGGACAAAGTGCGCGGTAAAGGCTTGTGGTGGTTTGTGAGGACAGTATTAGAGGTCTGAAGTAACTACCTCGAGTCCTGCGGGGCCGGGGTGTTACAGGTGGTATCAGAGCAACCCCGCGACAGTGTGATGACCCGTTTGATATCGGGCGGGCACTATTGGTGGTGGTTTGTGGTGGTTTGTGAGGACAGTACTATTGGTCCGGAGTAACTACCTCGGGTCCTGCGGGGTCGAGGTGTTACACAACCATACTCAATGACATAAAGAGAGGCAAAAAACTCAAACAACTATCAAAACCAACAACAAAAGTGGACACAAGAAAATAAATAACAAACAGATAAAAACTACAAGAAAAGCGTTCACGAACTCTAGCACCTCGTACATCTCATGGTGGTGGTTCAGGAGGAGGTCTTACCACTGGTACCATGCTAATTGATACTCCGTGACCTTTGGCTTCCAAAGGCCATGCATCAATCCTCCGTCCCTGCATAACCAAACTCATCCCTGCCCCATGCAACCAGAGTTAACGGATAGGCGGCGTTGATCTTCTCCAACGACGACAGCAACGCATCATCCTCGAACCTTGACCACAACAACAACAGCCGTCCTTCGATTAAAATCGAAGACGGAAAAAGACTCCAAGTGGCCGAAGCCCTAGAGAGAAGCGAGAGACGATCTCTATGAGTATCATATGCAAATATTAGACCTTATAGAATTTAATTATTGACTTTTTGTTTTAAAACGGACAACTTAATTTATGGAAGGAATAAAATTAAAAAATTAATATTATATACAATTGATTCTTTCAATTACAAAAAAAGTGGAAGGCATTAAAGGCAAGATCTCTTGGCCAAGAGTCAATAACACGTACATGCCCTCCAATGGTCTTTGGTTCATCGCATGTCGTAACATATTTTGGAGGGTGGGGATTTAGTGGTGGACCGGTTCCGGGCCGGGTCCGGTTTAGACCTTGAACCGGCCGGGCCTCGATTCAAGGTAGGGGAGGCCCGGAACCGGCCCGGGTAACCACGGGTCCGGTTCGGGCCGGGCCGGGCCCGGTTCCGGTTCTATATATTTTTTTTTTTTGGGTTTTTCTAATCAACCCCCTACCCTCAACCCTAAACCACCTCAAATGGTCCAAAATAACCAATCTAACCCAAAAACTTAAAAAAAATTCAAAAAAAAAAATATCCGCCCCGGACCGGCCGGGCCGATTCACCAAAATGAAGGCCCGGAACCGGTAGCCACCGGGCCGGGTCGACCCGAACCGCCCATGGGTCAGGCCGCCCAGCCCGAGTCCATCCCTATGGGGATTTGTTCTCACTTCTCACATTAAGGAGTGTTCTCATTTGAACTAAAAAGACATCTTCTCGTGCAAAGTGCGAAGATATGCACTTTTTTATGTTTTGCTTGCACTTTTTCGTGTTTCTATTGCATTGCTTCACGATGGCAAAAAGTGCAATATATTTACGAAAATGCCACCGCATTTTGGACGAAATTTGTGCTTGCTCTTTTTTGACCCAGCCCGGAGGCCCCGGAACCGATCCATGCCTATGTCATACTAGCCCATTTTTTACTACATAGTACATGCATAATTTTTAATATTTTTAATTGTATTAATAATCAAAATAAATATTACTAGTATTAAAATCACTTACTAAAGTTGCTATGGAGTATGGAGGATCTATTATCCATTTACTTTTCTCTTTATTTTATTAACAAAATATATTTGGAATATAATTTAATTAATTTCTCATAATTCAAACATATTGATTTAATTCAGTCCTTTCAATCAATATCTCATCAATTTTAGAATTTCATCAAATTTGGCACATTCATCCGATTTTAATATGATCAAACTGGACCTCAGGTCCTCAACCCAACAGTAAGCTCTTGGGTTAATACCAACCATATTATACTCCACATCTAACACGAAGCAGCAAAGACTACACGATGCAGCAGAATCAGCATAAATGGTCAGGAAATCACTACAATAACCAAAATAACGGTACGAAGTATCACTCAAAAAAGAAAAGCAATGCCTGAATACCACAAGATTAAGTCATTATTCCAGGAGTTTGCATGCAAAGATGGCTGAAAGGGGGAAATACTACCCAAAAGTTGTGAACAAGTATCCATCCATCTTAAAATTAGACTGTGCCAGATTTGCGCAGTTCAGCAGCACCATGCGCGAAGTGGCACTTCTCTGCAAAAGTGCACACTCCTTTACTGAAATTGTCACATAGCTTTGTCTTGAAATGGTTTCCACTGTTGGCTGGTCCACCACCACCACCGTGAGCTGAAGGTGCCACCGCTCTTCCCATGGAACCAAGGCGCCCGATCAGATCCTTCACCATCTCGCTTGCTAGAGCAATCTTATCAAACGAGCCCTCAATCTCAATGTTCTTCAGATTTGTATCTGTCTCATGGTCCCTAATCGACAGTTTCACACCAGTTTGCCTACATATATGCTTGGAGTTCACTCCACTCTTCCCAATGATAGCCCCAGCAAGGGATGCATCCACACTTATTTTAGCCGTTGCAGATAACCCAAAGCTGGCAGCTGGCCCTGACATCGGCACTGGCTCGACCCTGCCACCATAGCGGCCAGGAATGGATGGGGGCCCAGCCAGATAATGATCTTCGTGGGCTGGCGTCAAGGACTTGCCAATTTCCCACTCACCATGTGCAAAGCGGCACTTGTCACCAAATTTACATCCTTCAGCCGTGTTGTATTTGTTGCATAGCTTATTTTTTACTGAAGCACCAGATCCTGCTCCATTTGCAGCAGGTGGTGGGGGCACATTTCTTGGGGCTGGAGCAGGTGCCAAATTCATTATCTGGGCAACAGCATTATAGCCACCCGGAACATAATGAAGAAAATGGCAGCTTTCACCAAAGGGACATCCAGCAGTACTGCACACAAATCACGATTATTAAATAGATTTCAATAATCTATGTGTGTATGAGTATATAACTATGCATGAATGCGGCAAGCAATAACCATACTGCAGGCTGAATAGTACAAGTATATGATAATGTTACTAGATTTTCTTGTGTAAAGAAATGTATGCCAAGCTGATAAGTTATATCCAAATCTAGCAAAGGGCCAGTTGAGGCAGTCATTACCAATTGCCATATGCATATAATACCATACCTGTATTAGCATATTATAGAATTTTGGAATGCTAGTAATTGTAAAAATCAAGCCACCTGATAAAAAGTGTAACCCCTTTAAATATGTTGAAAATACTTAACTGTCTTTACATCATTGTAGGAATCATAACATCATGACCAATTCAAACAATTGAGAGCTTCTAATGTTCAACCAGATTTTGTGACAGATTGACTTTTTGGAAAAAACAAATCAGGGTTGGCTGATGTAGACACTTCACATTTTGAAAACAACCTATCATGTAAATTTAAAATTAAGTTTCACCTCAGAATTTATTACACTTTTAGTCAAATTGATTTCTGGGAGTGAAATAAATTAGTCTTGCTGTTTTGAAAACTTTATATCTACAATCAATCACAACCAGGTTAAAATTCTACCTTTGCCCTGAAGGCCACTACCCAACCACAAAAAACGAAAGAAAAATGCTCATAACAGATGTATATTTTACAGTATCTAAGGCAATTATACTAGATGCATTTCACTTTACAAATGAAAGCACATCAGATAACAAAAAGGTGCTCGAAAGTAAATCTAACTGCATGTAACTGATGAATCAACTGATGTAAGTTAAATTTCAGAAGCAATAGGAGAAAAGTGAGAAGTTAAGGTATAAAAAATGGCAGTAGTTCTGGAAATGCCAATATAGGCAGCTATAGTGGACCATATTGTCCAATAAAATATTTTGAGATCACTGACAGTGGTGTAGGGATGTAAAGATTGATAAAAGGCTGAAACAGATAATATGGAAAGAAACAAACAACGATAAGTTAGAGTTGAGACTTGATAGTGTCTCATAATTGTAGATGTAGTAACCAAAGGAGGGCTTTTATAGATGTCAGTAATGAACATAATATATAAATGTAATCTACAGCTTAATACATTTGGCACTAGTTCAGTAGTGTTCATAAATATATATTTCTTCATTTAGAATGCCTGTTGATTAAACATTGCGTATGCAACTTCCATAAATATCCTGTTAGAGGCAGGTATACTTGACTTCCTACAGCAATATAACCATTTGGGTACTTATGACAAGGGTAAGTAAAATTATTAGTAAGCACAAAGTATTAAGGATTAAACACTTAAGAATGAATTAAAATTTAAAAATACTGATTTTAGGTGAGTGAAGATTATAACCTGAAAAACTTCGTGCATGGCTTCGATTTGCTTCCTATACCACTTGAATTTGTTTCCAATTCTGTTGAAGGACATTAATTATTTATTTCCAGTTAGATATTGTGTTTGTTTTAAACTCATGGCTTGAATATCCAGCAGAAAATACTGATTATTACCAGCAAAAATTAATTAGCGCAAATGGAATTATTGGAAGATATAGGTTTTAAATGATGGAATAGAAAAGAGTTCAATCCTTCCACCATGTATAACAAGCACTTTTAGAGGCAAACAACTCGCCTCATTAATTACAAAATTTCATCATGAATACAACCCCAAATCAGTACTTTTTCCTTCCGATTGTTCCAATTTAAAGTATAATTTTACAATAGCTTAAGATTATACTCTTTTCCAGCTTGCAATATGGTTTTGTTTTGGTGAAGGAAAAAATCTTGAGTTGCGCAAATATTTTTCTCCAGACTGGTTTCACTAAAGGTTCGTTTGCTCTTTCTTTCTTCCATACTTCTTTTCTGGTATCCTAACTCCTCTTGCATCTTGCAGGGAGCAAGCAACAAAAGTAAAGAAAAAACACCAGATGCTTCATGACGTTAATTTCTCATGAATCTGTAAATCTCAAGATTTAACTACACCGACAAAAGCACTAAAGTACACCTCAGTACACCATCTCTATACAGAACCACATAGACAGTTAAACGGACAACCGCAGCGTACATCAGGTCACTATTAACACACGAAGATAGTGTAAATCTGAAGTGAAAAAAGAAGAAAAAACAGACCTTGCTTTGTTTTTTTGAAATTTCCATTGACGTTCGTCGAAGCATTCCTCTTTTTGGTGAACATATCTTCAGAGAGCACGGATCGCAGCAGAAAAGATGCAGCAACTTCAGCGAAAAATTCAAGTCTGTCGGAAAGAGAGCGGTGAAATCCCCAGTAGGTGTTGAATCAAGACGGAGATAGTACGGAACTGGAAGCAAACGATGGTCTCCGGCCGACCAAAACCCTAACACGGGAAAAATCTAGGGTTTATCGGGAGATTGAAGAAGAATGGGCTCGAGTCGATGGCTCGGAAAAAGAAGAGCGAAGAGAGGAGGGATATATATTTGTGATTCAGAAAATCGGGTTAAATTGAGTTGAGAGCCCGGGTTGGATTCCGCCCCTGATTTTCTGATTTTTCTCCCGCTTTGTCAAGGCTCACGTGCCGCGCTTCTGAGGCCGATTTGGAGAAACACCCCAATTTAGGGATCTGTTTGGAACACGAAAAATACTAGGCAATAAATTAGGAGGAAAGTATATCTGAAATATGGAAGAAAAGAGAATAATGTAGAGAAATAATAATATATGGAGTAAATTATTAGTCCAGGCTCCACAATTGTAAGTTTAATATTCAATCAAACTCAACGATTCACTTCATAATACTGCTACAGTACCAAAAACCTTTTAGTTTTTATAAAATCTCCACTGATTATCTAACTTTGTGAATCTATCAACCAGTTTCTCTATAGCATCCTTTTTGAGAAGAATTGTGTTTTCTAACTTAATTTTCTACTTTAATTCCTTGGACATGATACTAATGGATGTGATAAGATGAGGGTTCCACTATGTTAGAACCCTCTCTCTCTCATACATTACTTTTCTCATTCTCTTTTAAGTCAGCTTGTTTAATACTTTGAGCCTTCAAAACTTCAAGAAAATTCAATAAAATTGATTTTATCTCTTCTTCGTTGAGGATAAGGTGGAGAATCAAAGTCACTATGATAAGAACACTCAATTGTACTTCTGAGTTTTGACTTCTTGTTGAACCAATGGTGTTGCGATCTTAGTAACCTTGTGATAGAAAAATCATCTTTTGCAGAATGTGCATGTTTATACTCAACCGATCAATAAGTCTCTATTACATTTTCTCATTGTTAGGCATACTGATGTGGTGGGGTTGGATATTTGTATGTGAAACAATTTACCTTTAAATAAAACCCGCTTATAGGCTAGTATTTTGCAAAGTGACCATGAATATGCTATGTAGTTGATTGTTACATGATTACAGTAATTACACATTTTGAAAATAATACCTATTCACAAAACCTCTATTGATATTCTTTATATAATGAGTTGGAGGATCTTGACAGTGTCACAAGTTAGCCTTCATAGATTCCACTTAAATGCATTTTTACATCCACTTAAATGCACTTTTACATATTTAGAGACATTCCATTATAAATGTTATGTTTTTGATTTATTTTTGAAAATCCGTCTAAAGATATTATTCTTTGAAATTTTAATTCCAAAACGATGACGACATATATTGTTAATCATGCTTAGGAAACTATCATTATATAAAAATATTGCATGAAGTATATACAATATAAGCACATATTGAATAATTGAAATGTTTGGATGAAAGTGTATACGTACTTCTAAGTGCTTCAATTGCTCCTAAAAGCAGTTCATTAGAAGTTTGGGGAGACTGACTTCTAAAAATGATTCTGATTTTACTTCTGCTTCTAAAGAAAGAAACATGAGCAGAACCAATTCCAAACATTCCATAATTCATATTGTTGGAAAAAATGACACCCTGACCTTCGATTTAGCAGGATCACGAGCTAAGACGACTCTTGTATTATATAATTGTAATTTAGAAGAGAGTGTACAAATGAACGGGTATCTCACTTCACTCTTTCTATTTGGGAATCCTTCACTCTTCCTCTCTTATGAGAAGCCCTTCTTTCTTGCCACAAATGAAAGGCTACAACATCTATTTATAATACTCACAAAGGGGTAGGGATTCCCTTTCTCTAGAATCTTCCACCTACCTCTCTACATTCTAGATTCTTTCAAGGAGCCTCCAAAAGCTTCCATTATCTTCTTGAAGAATCTAGATGACTCCGCACTTATTTAGAACACTTTAGACTACTCTACAACCTTCTACATATTTCTAGAGATTTCTACATTTCTCTAGAAAATTCTAGAGTACTCTAGAAAATTCTATAACATTCTACACACATCTAGAGAGTATTATATTTCTCTAGATAACTCCGCAATATTATATTCTAGAGAATTCTACTCATTTCCTCATAGTCCTAAAATTCTCTAGAATGTCACAAAGTATTTGGAGATATTGAATTACATCCCAACAATTCCTCCCTTAATTCATATTTCCAAATATTTTAGTGATCTCCGAAAATTTGACTTTCTTTTCCTTGACTCCTCTGCTGCATCTTCTTTTCACTACACTGCCTTCCAAGATGCAAACATTCTTCTCATTTTTCCATCCTCTCATGATCAAGCGCCTTCATTTAAACACCTTGCACCACTTATTTGTGCCAAAATACTTACACTCGTCTAATGTTAATGCACCCAACGAGATGACATTAGCTTTACTCGAAGGCACGTACCTCACATTGTGGAGAATGTGGATTGTACCATTATGAAGAACCATCTTTATGATGCGCTTCCAGATACTTCAACCTTTAACTTCTCGCCGTTAGCTAAGTTGAAGTGGCCGAACTCTCCATTATAGTTCAAGGTGTCAAACATGGCTTGATCACGACATATGTGCATTGAGGCAGCACTATCCATCACCCCACTTAGATTTGGCAACCTCTTCACTTGTTGCTAAGTAAATATCACCATCATCTTCATCGCAGACCACATTGGTACGGGAGTCGCTATTATCCTTGCTTCGAGATGCCTCCCTAAACTTTTTCAAGTCCTCGCTCAAATCATGACATCTCGCTTGAATGTGACCCCTTTTCCCACAATAATATCACTCTATGTCACTTAGATCTTGGCACGGTCGAAACTTTGATCTTCATCTAGGGTTACCTTGCCCTCTTGAAAGTTTTCTTCCTCGCTCCTGTTCTCGTTCTCCCACAACAAATATGCGATCTCCACTTGTGTTTACATTGTCATTCTTTAGCATCCTCTCACTCTCACGCAAAGTTGTCGTCACCTCATCTAATGTGAGAGTTGTCCTTCCTACAAGTAGAGTTTGGACCAATGGTTTGTAGGACTTCGGTTGTGATGCTAATGATAACAATACATGCTCCTCATCTTTGATCTTATCATCTGCATTCATTAGTTGGCATACTAGTTGATTGAACATGTTTATGTGATCATGAAGATTACCTCCTTCCTCCATTTTGAGTGAGTACAACTCCATCTTCAAACATAACTGATTAGTCAGCGACTTCGATGTGTAGATTCACTCGAGCTTGTTCCACAATGCCTTCGATGTTGTCTCCTTCAACACACTAAATTTAATCTCGAGAGCAAGTGCCAACCGGATTGTACTCCCAAACTTCCTCTGCATCGCGCTCCATTCACTATCACTCATGGAGGCGGGCTTCTCCTCATCTAGAGCTTGATCAAGACCTTGCTGCACCAATACGTCTTGGATCGTATTTTGCCACAACGTAAAGTTGGTCTTCCCATCAAAGAGTGGGAGCTCAAACACCTTCGACATGTTTGATGCCATCACACTATCACGAGATCTTTCTTGTGAGAAAGTACCCCCGTTCCTCTACTACCGAAAACTTTGGCTCTTATACCACTGTTGGGGAAAACACGACACCCCGACCTTCAATTCACCAATCACCAGGATCACGAGCTAAGAAGACTCTTGTATTATATAATTGTAATTTACAAGAGAGTGTACAAATGAACGTGTATCTCATCACTTCACTCTTTCTAGTTGGGAATACTTAACTCTTCCTCTCTTATGAGGAGCCTTTCTTTCTTGCCACAAATGAAAGGCTACAACATCTATTTATACTACTCACAAAGGGGTAGGGATTCCCTTTCTCTAGAATCTTCCACCTACCTCTACATTCTAGATTCTTTCAAGGAGCCTCCAAAAGCTTCCATTATCTTCTTGAAGAATTTAGATGACTCCACACTTATTTAGAACACTCTAAACTACTCTACAACCTTCTACATATTTCTAGAGATTTCTACATTTCTCTAGAGACTAGAGTATTCTAGAAGATTTTATAACATTCTATACACATCTAGAGAGTACTATATTTCTCTAGATAACTCTACAATATTCTAGAGAATTCTACCCATCTCCTCACAGTCCTAAAATTCTCTAGAATTTCACAAAGTATTTGGAGATATTGAATTACAACCTAACACATACTTATAATACATACACGTGTATACATGAGACAGATTCAAAGGAAGTTGGTTGTCGATTTCTCCATTCAAATAAAAAGTGGTGTTCTCGTGCAAAATGCAAACAATGTACTATAAGGTTTATTGTGTATTACATGTATTGACAAATTGACAAAATGGTTGGTTGCTTCTTGCGTTTAGATTGCTCTCTGTTTTGACATTCCAAATCCTTGCTTGAGTTTTCACTGTGTTTTATTTACTTTTTTTGAAGCTTTGGACAAGTTTAAAGAGAACTTAGATAGTCTTTTATAAATGTTTCCCTGTTTGAATGGTTTTAAGTTTTAACTAGAAGAATCTGATTTAACATATCATGGAAAAGTATTAATAATTACACATCTTTATACTTCATATAAACTGATTACTTCAAACGTGTTTATATATTTGCAACTTAACTTTAATTTTAAATAGACACTTACTTGATCTATTCCATAATCAATTCATTTACTTATCTACATAATCTTTAACAAATTAATAATTTGGTAGTTATATTTTGTTTCTAAGAGAAAATGAAATTATATCAACTAATCAAATATAGTGTTTTCTTTAAATATGAAGATCATTTTTGTCAAATGAATAATTCATTATTTATAACGGATGTTAGAATTTAGTATGCATAATGTGTTGGAATATTTATTCCAATAATTAATATGGGCTAATATTATAATTATTGTTGTAACTATTTATCATAATTGAGTTTTATATGATCAATATTATCTAAACCGAATAGACTACTAAGATAAATTGTATGAGCCAAATAAATGGACAGAGGCCCGTGTTGCTTGTTAGGGTTTAATGGGAGCCCTAGCAAGACCAACACACTCTATAAATAGGCTATGGTCCCCAATACATTGAACCACCAATTCCTTCTCTTCTCCCCATCGGAAGAGAGACTGGCCTCCGGTTCAATTGAGGAAGATCCAGACGCCATTGACAACGTTCCATTCCTCCTGCGGTTTCGCTATGGATCCGGGTAGTATTTTATTATACTCTATTATTCAATATGAT